CAAAGATTGGTTATTTCCTTAGCTTAAAAATTTTGTAATTTGTATTTTTTGTGCCTTTAATCAATGTTTTTCAGAACATTCCACACAGAAATGGGTTCTTTAAAGGGCATGAAAGGTGTTGGGCCATAAAACAAAAATGTTATAAAAATTAACAAACCTGCGGAAAAATGCAGGTTTCTTCAATTTGATTATTTTGACAAGAGCTTGATTCCACCACGCTGCCTCACACATATGGCTGGGGCTGGAAGGGTTAAAATGTTTATACACGTAGAACACACAAAACGACAACCATAACTTACATACCGTAAAAGGCATAGGCTACAGAAGACAGCGACTTCAACTGCTCAAACACTTTAGAGGAGTTTCCGACCAGCTGAAAAGACTTGGGCACTGAAGTTTTTGGAAATAAAACATGAAGCTCAACGGATACATAAAGTGGCATGCTAACAAAATGAGTTACTTTTCGCAATCCATGAATGGAGATGTCAGACAAAAATCAACACAAGGATCATATTTGTAGACTCTAAACCAGTGCCATTCTTTCAAGTTAAACATGTCTTTTATCATTTCATACTGACAAATAGTAAAACTTCAACTTATATATATGATGTTTCAATTTCCATCGGTCTAAAATCTGAGAAGTAACTCATTTTGTTAGCACCCTTCACATTTCACCAAACAGCAGCTAAATACCTTTCATCTCCTAAGTTTAACAATATCTAATCATAAAACTGTATCGCAATATAGTGACATTACTAACAAGAATGAGTGACTTAGATTAAAGGGAACTAACCATAAAGCTGTAGAGTTTTTCAATATCTAATCATAAACTCATAACATAAAGCGAGATAAAAGCATAATCCCATGACAGCTTTTTCTGTGAAATTTAAAAAACAATTTCGACATTCAGTAACTGCATTCATTTATCAAAAAAAGGTCTGAGTTTTTTCTCAGCTGCTAGCACAACAAGTCTGGAGCTGTAGTAGTAGACTTGGGATCCACAAACAGAATAGAAACTAAACAAGAAAGAGTACTGCAGAGGAGTCTGCATAAACCAAAACCTGCCGGACCGTCTGATTTTCTTCGGGTTAGCCACGTTTTTGGTTGAGGGAGTAAGAGAGGGTACTCAAAATATTTCTTTTTAAGGGGAGGGGGGAGGGTGTTAAATTTTCTTTCAGTTTACCGCTGCTTTCGTGTTAATTTCGTTTGTTTTAAGCAGGCTCCACTGCATTATGCCTGTGAGAGTTCACTGGCACTCCCTTGTTGTATCAAGTCTAGTCGCAGTCAAGCACACACGTCAATTGGAC